TCTCTCTCTCTCTCTCTCTCTCTCTCTCTCTCTCTCTCTCTCTCTCACATTAATTTTTATTTTGTGTGTGTATTTTGAATGCATGTGTGTAAGTGCACCTGGGTCATGCACTGCCTACAGAGACCAGAAGAGGATGTTAGATCCTCTGAAACTGGAGGTACAGTTAATTAGCCCCTGAGGGTGCTGGGAACTGAACTGCTGTCCTCTGCAAGAGCAGGCAGTGCTCTTAACCATGGAGCAAATGACAAGATTTCATTCTTTTTTACTGTGGAATAATATTCTATACCACATTTCTTTATCTGTGATCCATTGATAAGACATCTAAGTTGATTTCATACTTTGTCTTGTATGCTTTAATTTTTATAATTTCCTTTTAAAATTTGTCTGTTTATTTAATATAAAGATAACAGATAAAATTGACCTTTTCCTAAGAATTTCTTATGACATCATAATACTCTTTTTAATATATACAAACTGAGCATTGAACTTAACCTAGGGCCTTGTACATTTACTCTGTTATTAATGTAAATCTCCAAAACCTCACCATTTTTTAAAACTGATTTTTGAGACAGAGTTTCCCTGTAGCCCCAGCTGGCCTGGAACTCACCACATAGACCAAGCTGGCCTAAATCTGGATCTGCCTGCCTCTGCCTCCTGAGTGTTGGCATTAAAAGTGTGCATCACTGTGCCTGACCTCATCTTGATTTTTTAAAGTTATTTTTTTCTCCATAAAGTTGAAATTTGTCACTGTTATGTAGAAGATGTGTTTTTTTTTTTCCCCCTTGAGCGATTTGAGGTTACATGGATTAATAAATTTATTTTTTTAAGGGACATACCACCAAATCATTCTCAGACTAAGTGTAATTCTCATTTGGAGATAACAATTCCAAAGGACTTGAAACTGAAAGAATCAGAGAAAGCTGATGAAAAACAGTTGATTATAGTAAGTATACAACTTGACCTATTGGTGAATTGTTGTAAACATCTTATTTATGCAGGGTTATTAAAATACAAGTTCTTTTTTTTTTTTTGAAAGATCTCTTTGGCGATATAAATCTTCATTATGGAAACTGTTCCTGCTATTTTCACCTCCTTTCCCCAAAATAAATTGTCCATCCTGTGATAAATAATAATTCAGCTTACTTGTTTTCTAGTTTCATTTTAACAAATTATTATACATTTTTACATCTATTTCTTTGATACGTCATTTGATCACTACTTTTAAGTAGTTAAGTATTAAAATGATGTGGCACTTAATATAAATGATATTTATATATCATTCATTATTCATATTAGCCAAAAGTATTGATTGGTAGGTATGTAAGTATGTACACAATGCTTATTTGTTAGCCTTATAGAAAGGAAATCAAATCTTTGACATTTGATGCAAAATGGCTGAACCTTGATAATATTTTGTTAAGTGAAATAATTCAGTCACAAAAAAGACAAATACTGTGGAATTTTACTCCTGTGAGGTGCCAAGAAAGTAGTGGTGGTTGCTAGAGGTTTGGAGGGATGGGTGAAAGGAAGTTGTTGTTTAATCATATAAAGTTTCAGTTTTGGCATGAAGAAGTTGTAGAGATTGTACAATAGTGTATGAAATAATACTACCAAACTATACACTTAAAATGCTTAAAGTGTGATGGTTCAGTGGTTGCATACTAACTGCTCTTGTAGTGGACCTGGGTTCAGTTCCCAGCACCCACATGGTAGCTAACAGCCATTTGTATCTCCAGTTCCTTCAATACCCTCTTTTAGCATCTCTGGGCATTGCACACATGTGTTGTACTTACATGTAGGCAAAATACTCATATACATAAAATAAAAATAAATCCAAAAAAGTTTTAAAATGCTTAAGGTGATCATTTTTATGTATATTTGGTAAAATTCGAGTTTTGCTTTACTGTTTTTATTTTACAAAAGAATATAATGCTGGGTGTGGTGACACATATGATCAGGATCACAAGTTCTAGGACAGCTACAGAGTGAGCTCAAGGCTAGCCCGTGCTATGTAGTAAGACCCTCTCTCAAAATAAAAAAATGGGGGTAATGCACACCTTTAATCCCAGCACTTAGGTGGCAGAGACAGGTGGATCTCATTCATGCCAGCCTCGTCTACATAGTATGAGTTGCAGGCCAGCTGGGACTACATAATGATACTCTCTCAAAAGAAGAAAGAAAACTACCTGAAGTAACTTGCAAATAACATTTTGCTGCTAGTTTGAATGCTGTAGAAAGAATTTCCTTTTAGTTTTATACACAATCTTTTAAAAAAGTTTTAAAAAATAATTGATTTTGCTGGGCATGGTGGCACAAGCCTTTTTAAGCCCAGCACTCAGGAGGCAGAGACAGGTGGATCTCTGAGTTCAAGGCCAGCCTGGTCTACATAGTTCCAGGTCAGTTGAGTCTACAGGGAGACCCTGTCTCAAAAAGACCAAAAAAAAAAAATTTTTTTTTCTTATGTTATGAATATGAATGTATTGCCTACATGTATAAGTGATGTAAGTGCACCTGTGTCATGCAGTGCTTGCAGAGATCAGAAGAGAGTCAGATTCTCTTGGAACTGGACTTAGAGATGATTGTTAGCTACTATGTGGTGCTGAGAATCGAATCTAGGTCCTCTTCAAGAGTAGCCAGCGCTCTTAGTCACTGGGCCATCCTCCAGTCAATCCCCCTTTTTGTTATTTATTTATATTTCATGTATATGAGTTTTTTGCTTCCATGTATGTAAGTGTACCTGTATGTGTGTTGACCATGGAGGCTAGAAGAGGACATTGGAGCCCTTTGAGCTGGAATCAGATGGTTGTTAGCTGAAGTGTGGGTGCTGGGAACTGAATCCCGGTCTTCTCCAAGAGCAGCCAATGGTCTTACCTGCTGAACTGCTGAGTCATCACTCTAGCCCCTATACACAGTCTTTTATTTTCATTGATTGTTCTTTGCTGTTTGATGCTAATTATATATAATGTACCAGTGATACTGTTACTAAAATCCTGTTCTCAAACTGTCAGGGCCTGGTTTAGTTCAAATTGTGTAATTATAGATCAGAGAATAAATGATTTATGTCTTCTATTTTTTTAAATTGACATTTTTGTGTGTATGTGTCTGCATGTCTGCTTTCACCTGTGTATTGTGTGTGTGTATTTATGCATGTGTGAGTGTATATGTGTGTATAGATAGGCCAGTGGGTAACTAGTGGAAGTTGGTTTTCTCCTTCCGCTGTGTGGGTTCTGGAGATTGAACTCAGGTTGTCAGGTTTTCCAGCATTGCAGCAAGTGCACTTGTGTATATGTGTGTGTATACATGTTGGGGTAGGGGGCACACATGCTACTGTGCCACCGTGTGCATGTGGAGGTCAGAGCACAGCTTTCAGCAGTTGGTTCTCTCCATAGGTCATGAGGTTTGACTTGCTTTTTTACCTGATGAACCATCTTGCCAGTCTGTTTGTTTTTACAAAATGGTTGCTAGCATTCCAAACCTGAATATTCATACTTGCGTTGCAAGCACTTATTGAACCATCTCCCCAGCCCTGGAAATGGCTCTTAATAAACTGCACACAGATTTCAGACATTAGTATCTGAATTTTTGTAATAAATTAAAATATTGTTATGTTAAGCAGTTCTCACTTTATGTTCACATTATAGTTTTGGAGGCTTATGTTCTTGAATAATTGTTTTTTCAAGGAAGAAAACGTATTTGTTTTTTATAAATAGGATGCAGGACAAAAAAGATTTGGAGCAGTATCTTGTAACATCTGTGGAATGCTTTATACAGCTTCAAATCCAGAAGACGAAACCCAGCATCTGCTTTTCCACAACCAATTTATAAGTGCTGTAAAATATGTGGTAAGTAGAATTTGCGAATTAAAATGTATGAGTCAAATAATTAGTTTGGGTTCTTAATGAGATGAATTTCGAATCCTAAGTCAGTGAAAAGTTTCTGCTTTTAGAGATCAGCACATACAAAGCACACAGTATGCATTTATGCTGGCTTCATTTAAAACAAAGGCAAGTACCGCAAACCAGGTAATTTATCCTGACAGGTTTCTATTTTGGGAATTTTATCTTAGGTTCTATTTTTTTTAGTTTGTTTAGTTTTCAAAAGTAGTTAATTTTTTTATAGCCATATTATTTAGCTTATGCATATTTCTTAATTTCCTTTGATTTTTAACAATTACTGTGGGTGACTATATATTTAGTATTCATATAGCTTAATGAAACTTCTATTTGAAGATTGATAGTGATATCAAATAGGTTTTGGGGGATCTATAAGAGTTTGTCTTTAAAAAGTTAAAGAGAAATTCTAGCCACTTAAAAAAAGATCTATGGCCGGCTAGGCATCGTGGTGGTGCATGCCTTTAGTCCCAGCACTCAGAAGGCAGAGGTAGGTGGATCTCTGAGTTTGAGGCTACCTGGTCTACACAGTGAGGTCCAGACCAGCTGGGGCTACAGAGGGACCCTGTCTCAAAAATACCCTCCCCCACAAATCTACAAAATAAATCTGGTTTAGTACAAAATATATTTCAGTACAAAATAAATTTTATTGTAAATGCATTTAAGGTATAATAATCATGTTAATAATAATTGCTTCTGGGAAAGGCAAAAGTATTAGAAATTTTGAACCATTTTTGATATTTTATGAAATGTTAATTTAATGTAATTGCTGTTTACCTATATCTGAAATGGGATCCGTTTTTATTTTATACGTGTTACCTTCCATACCTTACACTCAAATTAATAAGACCTCCAGGATATCTGAACTGAGATCACTGATTCATTTCATTAGCTTGTCATATAGACACCATTGAAAGGTCTTTATGGCCTCAATTAAACTCCTGTGTTTAGCTTTGATTGAATGGTTTAAATTCATTGCTTCATGGTTATATATGTTTTATCATTCATCCAGTTACTCCTACTCAGGATAAGTGAGGTTTTTTTTTTTTGTTCGCTACATTGGTTGTCCTTTGTATTCCTTATTCATCTACACTTTACACACATACACCCTCCTATTACTTCACTAAATGAAATATAATGTGTATGGATATAGCTTGGTGATTTATTCTTTGCAGTTTAGACTTTTTTAATTTGACTGTTAATAATCTTGCATCTGAAAAATTAAATGGTGGTATCAGGTAGCTAAATTACATAATGTTTAGGGCCAAAATACATGAATTTGGTAGAAATCTGTTCTGTTCAATTTAGTTTCCTAAAATTAGAGGAATACTATATTTTATTAAAAATGTTTAACTTTTCAACTTAGAAAAAATTTAATTTCTGAGGGAAACAGTAGTGAAACCAGTCAAAAGTAGGTGTTCTGCTCTTTTCTCTTTTAAGATACCAGAAGAAGTTTTTTGTTTTATTGTTGTTTTTTGTTTTTGTCTTTTTTTTTTTTTTTTTTTTGGTCTTTTTGAGACAGGGTCTCCCTGCAGCCCCAGCTGTCCTGGAACTCACTATGTAGACCAGACTGGCCTTGAACTCACAGAGATCCACCTGCCTCTGCCTCCCAAGTGCTGGGATTAAAGGTGTGTGCCACCACGCCCGGCTTGTTTTTGTCTTTTTTGAGACAGGGTCTTCCTATAGCACCAGCTGGCCTGGAACTCACTATGTAGACCAGGCTGGCCTTGATCTCACAGAGAATTTGCCTGCCTCTGCCTCCTGAGTGCTGAGATTAAAGTCATTCACCACCACACCTGGCTTCCAGGGGAAGTTATTTATGGAACAGAGTATTGTCATCAGCTAAACACAGTTTCTGAGTCTTGCAGAGGTGCTCAGTGCATTGTAGTAGCCTAGGGAAAACTGCCCCCTGGTCCCATCCAATCTCCTTCACCCCTCCCTAGATGGGATAGAGCTAGTGGTTGTTATTTATTTAGAAATGAGCTCAAGAGAATGAACTGTTGCACACCTTGTACTGTGCCTTGCAAAGAAATTAAGCCCTCCATAGTGCTTGACAACCATCTAACTGTCTTTAGTGTCAGTTTTATGTGTTAGGGCTGTTGGTAAGAAACACTTGGAAAAGAAGTCATTTGGTGCTTTGGTTTTAGTTCATGTTAAATGTTTAATTCATGTTAAATGGACAATGCTCAAGAACTGGAAATGAAATTTTATTCTAGTTAAAACTATTTAAAAGTAAAATAGTGGTTGAGTGTAGTGGCACATGCTTATAATACAAGCACTTTACAAGTCAGAGGCAGGAGAGAATCACTGTAAGTCTGAGGCTGGGCGGGCTTGTTATGTGTGCGTTCCAGATCACCAGGTTAGGTAGTGAGACTCTTTCTAAATCAAAATAAATAGATAATTTTAAAAATAGAAACATTCCTTAGATAATCAGTACCTTTTCTTATGTGCTTGGGCTAAAGAATTTTCCTAGATATGTAATAATCAAATGAAAATTAGAAATGGCTAATACCCAATTTTTAATTGATTAAACATTTAAATTATATGTAGCCATAGTAGAAATAGATGCTCAGTTGATTTTTTTTTTTTTCCTCCTTATCTCTTACAGTCTTGTTGGTTTTGAGATAGGGAAGGTACATATTTTCTTTCTTTAGTCCTTTATTTTACCCCATCCTCCTCATTGATACCATTTGGGGAAATGAATTTTTATCTGACTTAGGAAGAAGGAGCTTCTTAGTGCCTTAGGAAGGGACTGATTTGGACTTAGAAATTGCTGTTTCCTTGCTGAACTAGGGCACAGTAGTTTCCTAGTTCAGCAAGGAAACAATGATGAGTAAGTAGGACGAACTTTCCATTGTTGTCAGGCCAGGATCCCATCAGACACTGTCAGAAGCTCAGTTTCATTTTGAGTTATCAGTAATACAGATGATGAATAATGTCTGGGTTCTTGGTAGAGAAACTACTCTTGGAGTTGTGTGATATACCCTTCAGGCTTAGGAGCAAAGTCTGAAAGAAATAAAAAGTTGAAAGATTTAAGTAACTGTTAAAGCAGTAAGTCAATATTAAGTATTTAACTATTGAAATAAATCATAAATTTGCTTTGTGGTATAGAAATGACTAGAAGGGCACTGGTTAGAAGAGATTCCATTGGTGGAGAAGAATTTTAAAAATTGGTGGCAAATGCCTTTAAATCCCAGCACTCAGAAGGCAGAGGCAGGTGGATCTCTGTGAGATTGACATCTGCATAGTTCCAGGCCACCTGGGACTGCAGGGAGACCCCGTCTCCAAACAGAAGAAAACATAGGAGGCCATCTGTGGTTGATAACATAGTACAACTAAAAGTATGAGACAGCATAGCATCTTTGTGGGGAATAATGACTAGATCTTTTTGACTGAACCAAAGAATTTATATATAATCATTTAAGAAAAATATCATTAGGTCAGATTGTGATATTTTGATTTTGAATGCCGTTTGGAACTTTTTCTTAACATTGTTTTAGGTGTTGAAGAATTGTGAATCCTGTAAGTGGTACTAATTTAAATAACATTAGAATATATTTTGGTGAGATGTAGAGAGAGAAATATTTCAGTGTTGGGTCAGAGAGAAAGGTAAGTAGGTATAAGTAGGTAAGGTGTATGTTTTACTGAATTACTATGGCATTGATGGATATAGGGGAAGAAACTGACCACAGGAGAAACTTTGAACTAAGGTTTGCTAGGGTTTTTTTTGGTCTTTTTGAGACAGGGTCTCTCTGTAGCCCCAGCTGTCCTGGAGTCACTATGTAGACCAGACTGGCCTTGAACTCACAGAGATCCACCTGCATCTGCCTCCTGAGTGCTGGAATTAAAGGCATGTGCCACCACGCCCAGCTAGATTTGCTAGATTTTTGAATGACTACAGAATTAAGCTGTCCACTATGGTAGCCATATGAAGTTGAAAATGCTATGTTTAACAGTTCCCAGTGCCAGTAGCTAGAAGCTACCATGTTAGGTAGTATAGATGCAGAATGTTTTTATTGTCTCAAAGATTGTTTTGGCTAGTGCTGACACTAAAAGTTGAAAATTATATATGACTAAGTTTTTAATTCAGGAAAATTTTATCTATCAGACTATTAATTTGAAACTGGAGCACATGAATTCTGTGTACTTTGTGTTTATTCTTTTAGAGGATGACAAGGAAAAAGAAGTAGATGTTAGGGAAAAGAGAACTAAATAGTAGAGCAGGTTTAGGGTTGGGAAAGGAATCTGGAGCAAAATAGCCTTCACCTTCGAATAAAGATCACCAAACTTTGTGTATCTCAAACTGCCTGGCATCTCTTGCCACATAACACCTCTGATTTTATTATTTACTTCCTTGTATTTTATATACTTAGAACATTGTATGTATGAATATTGGGTGAAGTGGCACTTAAGTATTGGGAAGAAATTTTGCCTTTGAAATAGGGGACAATATGGCAAAGAAAAATATGCCTTTAGTACAAGTATTATGTGCAGCAAATTTACATACATTATTTGCTTGTTTGAGAGAGGCTCTCACTCTAGCCTAGACTAGTTTTGAACTTGCAGCAGTCCTCCTGCCTCTGCCTCTCAGGTGCTAGAATTATAGACATGAACCACACCGGACAAGTTTTTATTTTTTTTAAGAGTTTACAATTTTGAGGTGGAGGTGGTCGTTGTGGTAGCAAGTTATAACTTGCATATTGGCAAATAAAAAGCTCTTCCACCTGTTCTTCAATGTTTTTCTCTGTACTAGAAATTGTACCATTCTATTGTTCTCCTCACATTAAAAACAACATAGTAATATTTCAGTTATTTATTTATTTATTATTTATTTATTTTGGGTCTTTTTGAGACAGGGTCTCCCTGTAGCCCCAGCTGGCCTGGATTCACTATGAAGACCAGGCTGGCCTCGAACTCACAGAGATCGCCTGCCTCTGCCTCCCGAGTGTTGG